TGCTCCGTAGTAAGATTACCTGAAAAAGTGGCTTAATTTAAGTTCAGCGAAGAAACAGGGAGTATAATCAAACAAAACTTGTAAAGGTGGGCACAGTTGACTCAAAGAATCGCTGTTCAAGCGAAACTTGTAAAGGTGGCACAGTTGACTCAAAGAATCGCTGTTGAGATAACGCGATTATGTTAATCAGCAATACAGCTTCTTAAGTTTGAAAACGCTCAACGCTCTCAATTAGCCGCGTTCATTTGGTTCTCATCGTCAGTAGAAGAACAGCACCACGGAAGTGTTCCGAAATCCACAGCATAGCAGAGAGCGCAAAAACTGCAAAATCCATCTACGCCAGCTGCGCCGGAAGTAAGAAATAGAGTGAAAAAGATGCTTTTGTAGGTGAGTGTAGTCCGAAAGTAGTCCGATGCATGCGTCTTGCGACGCTGAGCTCAAATCCGTTTTCGATATCTGCCGAACGATTCCATGAACGGAAGTTACGAGGGATTCTTCTCACTGTGACAGCCCTCTACATCCCCCTGAAGCCTCTCTTTACAAAACTTTTGAAAAGAAGCACGAGAAGGAAATTCCAGGGTCTGCCTCCTCCAGGTGTCAATAGGGACGCTACACGCTATCAATCAAAGTAATCAATTTCAAACGCTTTCTGGGCTCGTATGAGCAGCTCTGAAAAAAAGCAAAAGTTTGCCACGGCCAAGGACTCGAACATGTCCCCCGCATGAAGCAAAAGCGCTATCCACTACCCACAAGGTTCACTGCCATGTGTCTGTTGTACGGCTCTTTTTACGTGAGCCGAGTGGATAGAGGGATGTAGAGGGCGCCACAGTGAGAAGAATCCCTCGTAACTTCGTTCAGAGAATCGTTCGGCAAATAACCGAAAACGGATTTGAGCTCAGCGTCGCAAGACGCGTGCATCGGACTACACCTCATTACAAATGGCCGGACTGACCAATTGACCATTCCTTGTAAGCATAAGAGCATAAACGAGAATGATAGATCATTCAACATACGTATCCGCATGTTGTTGAAGATGATACACATAAAATAAGAGAGCTCAAAAATCTAGATCTACAACAAAAAAAAACGAGAATGGGCGCTCAAATGAGAGTAAATAAGCAATAAAGCGATAAGCTACTGCGCACATATTGTCGAAGTGTGATAGAGGCCTTGGATGAGTAGCCCCCAGAACAAAAATCCAAAAAGTATGAAGACTATGGTAGCAGATAATAAGTGATAAACGTCGTAGCGTTCCTAATATTCACCCATACCTCTCCCAAAATTATATGGATACCTTGCTAAAAAAAATGCTAAAACTCTCAGTCATTATGGCAACGAGCATGCAAGTTCACATGTTAGAAAGAAAAGAAATAATCTGAATTTACCTAGAGGAGCTCTCGACAAGTCGTATTCAAGTTCAATGACATCCTCTTCCATCTTTTGCATATTCGTTATAAGGCCCATTAGGAGTTGGACACGGGAATCCAATTTCGAAGGCTGAAGCACATTCGACGAATTACAAATGCAAAATGAGGACACAAAAACATGCTTTGAAAATCACCTGGAGAGGTTTACAATCCCTTTCTTCATTCTCGTCTTCATTTTTCACGGGCGCACCAGTCTTCGTCTGAATGTTCAACTCATCGAACAAATTTCGAGCGTTGTTGCACCAGATCTCAGGTCACGTTCATAACCAGCCTTTTGGAGGAATAGGATAGTAGAAGATTAAGAGATTAGGCGAGTAAGGGAATAGAAGGATAGGAGACTGAGAAGTCAAGAGAATAAGAGAGTCAAGGGAAGACTTGATAGGGATTGAAGAAGAAGAGCAAGGGAGGAACTTTCTTTTACCTAACTTCTAGTAGAGCCAATTTGTATCGAATATTTCCAACGAGTTCACCTACTATTCCACTCTCTGATCTCCAGTCCTCCAATCAATACCTATCTTTCATTCTTGTCTATTCTTTTTCCCCAAAAACATTGGCTATGCAGAGGCCTTGAACTAGATACAAACTCACGACAACAATTGCGTATTTTCCCGGATACGCAACAAACGAAGAACGTTCACTCCATTCATTCCTTGTCTTTGCAAGGAATTTGGCACAAAACCCTCTCTTGGCGTCCTCCAATCGGCTATCGTAGCATACCAGTGATGACTGACCCCGATAACCGACACGCCCCCATCGCATCCATGTCCTCAAAAAAATGAAAGCTTATGTTTGCTATAAACAAATCACATTTGTCAAAGAGTAATCTAATCTAGTAAATTCTGAAAAGGCAGAAAAGAATGATAAAACCGGAAGAAATACCAGTATTTGTTGTCCGTGTCACTTTTTAGTAGCTGTATGAGGTAGTATTTGTTGTTGTTCATAGAAATGTTGGTCTGAAGAAAAGATCAGCGATAAACAACCAAGCGTAGCGACATCGGAAAACTACCTGATTCAACATAACGTCCCAGACTGTGTCAAGTTCAGTTAAAACATGCACAGTATCACGGAAAGGCTGTTCCAGTTCATGATCAACGGCAACACCTCCTTTCACCACGACGACGACACGTTCAGAGCGCTTCCTCGAACCTGGACAGAAAACTGTCGTTCCAAAGTAATGCAAACAGTAGTGGCATAAGGGACACGAAAACACTTACCCTTAGATTTACCAGTACTTTTTCCTCCCATAGAGTCTGTAACTTCCTTAGGCACCGCCTGTGTGGAACTCTGAATTTGATTCGAATCAAGGATGCTGCATTATGATCACTAGGCGGAAGAATCTGAGCGAAATTGCTGAGAAAGAATCACATGTCCCACCGTCTCTGGAGAATGAGCATCATCTGTTGGCAACGGTGAAGCGACCTCCTTTTTTATTTCCTGCACTCGTTGAGATCTTCCTGAAAAAAGTGATCAGTCTCACTTCAGGTAAACCCCTCCCTCCGGAACATATATAAATATCAACATATTTTTCATTGGGATCAATCCATTCTTATTCAGCCCTCCTTTCACAAACTCTAAGAATCATGATCTAACCACAACGTTCATTTTCGGCACCATTACCACGTCTGTGACCAAAGCTCTTAATAATTCTCAAAAAGAGTTTTTAACGATGGAGGGGAAAACTCATGGCGCCAGCCCGGCACCAGGAAGAAATGCCGTATTCATCACAGCTGATAAGGAAGTTGTAGTGGGAACACTCACCACCTTGTGGGCTAATTATTGAATAGATAGCCAAATGATGTGTTCTTCCTATATTGGGGTGAAAATGGAGTTGAGAGGAGCCACTCCATAGTGCTCTACGTTTCTATCGCTAAGGATCCGGACTAGGAATCATCTGCGATTTAAGGTGCTCCAGAACGCTCAAAGAAAAGGCGATAAGGCCTGCGATGCTATACGGCAGCGAGTGCTGGCCCCTGAACAAGAACCACGAAAGGCAGCTTCACTCCGCTGAGATGAGGATGCTGAGATGGGCCTGCGGCTGGACGCGACTGGACAGGGTCAGAACGAGGATGTCAGAGCGGTCATGCAGACTGCCCCTGTCCAGCTGAAGGTGCGAGAACAGCGTCTGCGATGGTATGGGCATGTGCTAAGGAGGCCACAAGGACCATCCCGATAAGAACAGCGATGGACTTCGAAGTACAAGGCAAGCGACCGCGAGGAGCCCCAAAGAAGAGGTGGAAGACGTGATCAAGAAGGACCTAAGTGAAATCACGGCCACAGCAGGAGATGCCCTGGACAGAACGAAGGTGACGGCTGACAAAGATGGCGGACCTCGTAACTGGGCGGCAATAGCGCTAGGGTGGGGAGAACAAAAAGATGATGCCTTTAAAGAAATTAGGGAATAACTCACTGGTACGTTTTTCGCTACATTGCGTTGGCTGCGGTGACGTTTCTTCCAATTTTACTTGTTGCGTTGTTTGAGATGTTCCTGGAAAGAAATGGTCACCTCACCTTCTGTCGCCTTTCGCCTACAGGAATATTTTCTATTCAATCATCTATTGAAGGCTAGAAGCTAGGAACTGTAAGGCTATTTTCATGGACTAATAGGATGTTCTATTCGATACTACACTACCGAAATTTTAAAAAGAATCACTTTCACTGGATATTCGTCGAAAGAGATTATTCAGTGTTCAGGGCACAAACACAACATGAAGGTTTGGCCGTAATCATATACGCAGGCAGGGCTTTTAAGCGCGTCTATATGAGAGTAGTTAAGGAAATAGATGGCCTATAGGCGCTATAGATGAATGGAATAATCATGAGAAACATCAACCATAACCCTAAGTGAATTCTCAGCGGAACTTTTCTGGCCATTTTGGAGCTTGTTGCTCAAGTGAGACAGCCCATCTGCTCGTAACACTACAAAACCGCGAAGAAAAAACTTAGAACACTGCTTATCGCTATTAAGACATTTCTAAACGACTAACTGGTTCGTTTGCTGTCGCATTCCACTTCAACGGAACAGTTTCTTCTTCGCAACACTCGCTTGTGCGTCTAAAGATTGCAGCTTCACAAAAAAGGAAGAACATAGATTTTCCAGAAGTAAAAAAACACAAAAAGTTGTTTTGTTCAAAAAGGCTGAAAAAGAACCATTGTTGGAGAACGAGAAATAACACGGGTGGCCAGTTAGTAAGATGTGCGATCGATACCAAATTTTGTCGACAAGTTCCTGAAAAAATGAAGCAATCACAGTGAAAAGTATAGTCTGTTTCT